ACCTAACTTGGCAGGAATAAATAGAGCTACCCAAATTTCCAGAAAAAAAGAAGAAAACATATCTCTTTTCCTCTTCTTTCCTGGAAAATAAAATAAAATTTGAAAATGCTAGGACGACCAAGAATTAGAAAATATTTTGAATGTCTTTGTTCGCGCTTTGTCCGCGGTTACATCTTTCCCCGCTGATGTCACGCTTAGTCGTTGTTTCGGGCTATCGATTCATATGCCAATATTGTCCTTTGTCAGTGGTCGCGATGTGGTTAAGATAAATTTTTGACATTTACAGTTTTTCCTCAAAAACGTCATAGAACAGCTCACTAAATTTCAATTCTTTATTTCGATGTTGTTTTTTTGATTTGCACTCCTACGCGTTAACTACTAGGAATTCCAACTTCTCCGCGATTAATTATTTTCTCTAGTTTTTGCGAAGATTCTAAATTTTAGATTCGGATATATAAGTTATGGACGTGAGGGAAAGTAATGCGGATGAAGCAAAGTAAGTTTTCAAGCAAATTTGGCTGAATGCTAGTTCGATAGGGTGTATGTAGTATTGCGCGATTCTCAGGTTGCCAGTATAGTAGCTGGCTCCAAAGTAAATTGTAATCTTTCAAAGTACGTCTTTTCCAAATAAAAGTATGTAGGAAGTCTACAAGATGATTCAGAATATAAAAGTCAGTCGAGTATGTTTTCGAAAATAAAAACTCGAAAGTAGTTCCATTCAAATTTTTCCGCTGAAACTTACCTAACGCAAAGTTTTTTTTCTTTATTTACTTTTTAAAGCTAGCTTAATCATGCAAGTAAACTTCATGCTTGTTATTATATCGCCTAAATCTAGTGACAGACAGGAAAATCGCGCTATACGACTTCATTTCTCATCGATGGTTCAGTCCATTTCACGATTGTTACCTAGCAGTTACTTAACGACTCCTTAAAGCAAACAGTTAGCATTACTGCACAATTACATACATATCAGATGATTAGGCTATCAGACTCCAATCCATAATTCTCCACTCTTCCAAACCAAATTTGTACTGAAATTGTCCCAGACTCATGTCACGAATTTCCAATCCCGTTATCCTATTTTTCATAACTGTAGTTTAAGAGCCAGCTGTTGCTGAAAATCTTTCAGACGGAATATTGCTGTAGAGCGAATTTATCATCTGATTAGAGTTGGTTCAGGAGGATGAGCCAAACGTGCCTTTCTTATTTTGCAATTAATATCGTCTGTTTTTCTTTTGCAGAAATTTCCTACGAATGCTCTATAAACTTTTTTTTCAAAAATCTTACAATAATTTTGTTATATCATTATTATAACCTTTACCGTAATCCTTCTTCCAATCCAATTCAAAATTAGTTGCAAGTTCAATTTCTTTTTTTCTTGGTGGAGAACTATATGAACATTTTTGCACATCTAATAACAGTCGTCAAATGGCAGTAGTGTGATAATGTTAAAATTAGCAACTCTTTCGAAAAATCCATCAGAAACTGTAGAATTTTCTTAAGTAACTATTAATTAATCAACATGAATAATTAATATTATTAATAATATATCAAATAATCTTTGAAAAGTGGCTAAAATAGGGTTGTAGCCTTTACGACCTTTTCGATATCAAATGAGCGCTTGCGTCAGATTTGCCCCTTTGTATGAAATATCAGACCATCACTGAAAATTGATGTTTAGTATGTCGGTAGTAGAAAATCCC